GTATGAAGCCTAATAAACTTAAACGATATTTGCAAATACTTAATGGTGAATACGTTAACAAACCTCGAGAATTCTTTGAATTAAATTTAAAATCATATGAAAAGCAAAAAACCTTTTTTTGAAAAAACTTAGTCTGTAACTGAAAAAGCTTTACTTGCTTCTTACAAAGTCTCGTATAAAATAGCCAGATGTAAAATGCCTCATATCACTGGAGAAGAGCTTATTTTGCCAGCTGCAATTGAGATCGTCGAAACTATGTTTAAAGATAATTTTGCTAAAGACTTGCAGTCCATACCTCTATCAAATGATACTGCCAGTCGAATCGATGATATAGCTGAAAATGTACAGCAGCAGCTTTTCGGGAAGTTGCGTGACAAATTGTTTTCAGTTCAGCTTTATGAGGCAACAGGTAGTAATAAAGATGTTTATTTCATTGCGTATGTTCGATTTTGTGATGGTATTTCAGCAGTAGAAGAACTACATTTTTGTAAACCAATAAAACTCAGTGCAACGGCACTAGCATTACTTAATATTTTAAATGATTTTATAAACGAGGCAAACATAAAGTGGAAAAATTGTGTCGGAATATGCACAGATGGTGCTCGTACAATGTCTAGAAGATTCCAAAGTATACAAACACTTATCAAGAATCTTCTCTGTACTTTGTAAAAACATTGATCCTTGCTATTTATTGCGAGGAAAGATGGTTATCACATGGAAACGTTTTTGCAACGAGTTTATGAATTCAGAGATGAAATTGCCACTTTTCTAGAAAAGGAAAACCAACCGGAAGCTGAGAAGTTTCGAGGTGGTTTATTTGTGATGAAATTGAGCTACTTGGTCCATGTATTCTAGAAATTAAATACCTTGAATCTTCAACTCCAAGGAGCAAATATAAATATGCTGGAGGCGAATAATAAAATTAATGCTTTTTGTAGAAAATTGGAATTATAGAGCAGAAATTTAAAGCAAAAAAACCTAGAAATGTTTGAAAATGTGGAAAAAAGAATAAATTTAAAAGTAGCAGACGCTATTTCTAAATTCAAATAATAAGCTGTTGCCAGAAATATTTATTCCAAAACATTTGCTATTTTAAATTCTTTAACGAAATCGTTCTAAAACCACCAGTGATGTAAATAAAGGCAGGGTAAGGACTTTTGTGGGCATGGTGTACATTGGGTGCACTGATATTTCCTCAAATATAAATTGTTTCATAATGTTTTGCTTTTATTTTTATTGAATAGTTTCATGACAGAGAGGATACAATCATCATCTATATTATTTCTATAGTAAAATTCGTTCTTTCTACCAATGCAACGATGCCTGGGGAGTCTTTCTCAAAATCTATGAAAAAAATCAAGAAACGAGCTTAAAGCAATATTATCACAGCATGTAGGTTAGACAGGATGGACCTGGTCCTCCAGGTTGGGGTATGGGTCTCAGGATAACAACCCTACCCCGAAAAAATATTCCCTGTTTCGAAGTCTGGACCAGAAAACATCCAAGCCCTTCTCACAGACAAACTTGGAAAAGGAATAAGAACTTGATTTTTGGTTCATGGAATATCCGTTCCCTCTAACGTTCTAGGGTCCTGCAGTAGCTTATACGGCAACTTAGATGCAAGGTAGATACTGCAGTAGTCCAGGAATTGAGGTGGACTGGACAGGCTACAGTTGACAAGAAATCTTTTATATTGTTTTACAGCTATCATGACAAAAAGCCTATAGAGGGAATTGGTTTCTTGTTAGGAAAGCAAAACATCTAATTATTAATTTTAGGGCTTTAACGCCAATTTTATGCAAGTTTTTTATTAATGCACATGCCCCTACTGAGATAAGGAACACACAGATATATCTTATGAAGAGCTCTCAGATTGTTTTAAAAGCTGTCCTCTTAATGATATTAAACTTTTGCTTGGTGATCTGAATGCTAAAGTGAATAAAGAGAAGGGGTTTAGATACAAACACTGGTATGCATAATGCACATGATAAATCTAATGATAATGGAATCCGCCTCGTTGGTTTTGCTATTGCAGTGATTGGTAATACCTGCTTTGAGCATAAAAATATTTACAAATATACTTGGAAGACACCACACGTTCTTACAGATACTAGAGATTTCACTAACTTTATTAATGTTAGAACTTTTGAAGGAGCTATTATGGATCCCGACCTGTTTTTAGTTCTAACTAGAATTACAGAAAAAAATCTCCAATGCTAGTAAAGAATGACTAAGGTTTGATTGTAAGGAAGAAGTTAAAGAGGCAGAAGTGGAACTTACAGAGGAAGTATTTCGGAGGTGAAAACTGACACACTCGATCTTGAAAACCTATGGCTTAGGTTTAGAATAACAATATCCAATACTGAAGATGTAGGTTTGGGCCACAGAGCTCGATGGAAGAGTAGAGTTTGTTCTGATGAAGAATGTAGACTCGCAAATGAACAACAATTTGCCACTTACAAAAGAATATTGCAACATAGTACTACAAATATGGTAGAGGAATACTGTGAGGCACAGTAAAATCAAAGACTCTTATAGCCAAAAGAAGAGCTTTTGAGGATGTTGAACACCTGAAGGAGACCAATGAGTGCCATGTGTTTTTTCAGAAAGTCAGCTACTGTTGAAGAGATTTTGTCGAAATACAATTGGTGATATCTTTACTGAAACTTCTTGGATTTTGGAAAGATGGGTCGAGCATTTTGAGGACTTATTAAAGGGTAGTGATAATTCTAATTCTTCTGACATTATACAGGAAGAAATCTTGGCTGATTTTAAAGAATTGACATCACCAAATTTGCAAGAAACAGTATCTGCTGTCAAGGAGTTTAAAAACTACAAAGCACCTTGAATCTATCTCATACAGACACAGCTATGGCACTTTTCCGTAGAATTTATTCAAAATGTTTGGTCAAGTGAGAAAATGTCAAGAGGATTGGCTCATAGGCATTGTATTCCCAATCTACAAGAAACAGACTTGTTCTTTAAGTAAATAGAACTGTTGGTAACATCACTGTAGACCATATCTTTGGCTTTAGACAAATTATGGAGACCTTAATACTGACTTTTCTCTCTTGTTTATTGACCACTAAATGGCGTATGATTCCACTGACTGAAACAAATTAAGAACAATGCACGGTTTTGATATTCCCTTAAAACTGATAAAATTGTTAAAAGTAATACTTAATATGACTTCTTGCAAGGTTCTGATTTAGAAATACTTTTCCAATGATTTCCTCGTCGATAAGAGAGTTAGACAAAAGGATGCCCGCTCATGCCTTTTATTTAAAAATGCATAGCACAGCGTCATCACTTAGTCTGGAATAAATACTAGGGACAGTATTTTTAGAAAATTTCTTAAAAGTTCTGGTGTTTGCAGATGACATAGTACTGGTGGCCGGAAGCAAAAGGTATCTAATAGAAACACTTGAAGCTATTGAGAGAGAAGCTAAAACAGGGGGTCTTACTACTAATCCAGAGAAAACTAAATATATGACTACTACTGGAAATACACTTCAAACTGGGACATAAAACCCAGCGATATAAAAGAAACACCTTTCCAATTGCAATATATCTGTTGTCTGTTTGAATTTAGGAAACAAACTCAGCGATCTAAAAGAAATGCTCTGTCACTGCCCAAATTAGAATTTTGCACCATGCAGCAATGTTTTGTTGTTCACCAAAGCTATTTAATATTTCTTTCAAATTAATTCCCTTATTAATTAAAAAACTAAACAATAAACACAGATTCATTCTGATTATTATTAATTACTAACTGGACACATCAAACTATTCTAACCAGATTTATTAAAGTGATGATTCATATATATGAAGAATAATGTTCGTTTATGCGTGGGAAATTCGTATGAAAAACATCCCATGGCATCCACACTCAGGGTGTTTAAATCTGAATGTTTTATTCATTTCATCCATTTTAGGTTCACCTCGCTGTTGATGAGTTCCCACTATCAGTAGAAGTCATGCATATTAAGCAAGGGAATTTTAATTGCTCTTTTACAAAAAATAAACATTTATATTTCTACAATTTTGAAATCATGTCCACCTATCTTAGGTTGTAGAGACATTAGGTTATTTCGATGCTAGAGAAGTGAAAAAAAAAATGAGCAATGCCCTCGCCAGGACTCTAATCACGGACCTCTTGAATATGCGTCGAACATGCCGACTACTACACCACGAAGGCATGCAAAAAAGGCTGGAGCAATACCTTATATACTCCCCCTTTTAAAGGCCGACTGGGGATTAGGGGTCTCAATCGCCAAATCCTGGTGCTGGAGAATCAACCACAACATTTTAGTTTGGGCGCCACAGTACAGACATAAGATTATTTTGATACTGGAGAAGTGAAAAATGAGCAATGCCCTCACCGGGACTCGAACCATGGACCTCTCACATACGCGTTGAGCTTGTTAGACCATGAAGACATGCTAAGAAGATGGAACCAATAACTTATAAGGTTCACATCAATACTTGCATTCCCGCTCTCAGTTATCAAAAGCATTAGATGATGCCATTTTAATTTACTCTTTAGAACAGTGTTGAACCTTTAAGGCAGAATTTATATGTGCTCTCTATCAGTTTTCCATGAATATTTTAAAAATGGTGAAGAAATCGGTCAAAATGGATGGTGATTTTCTGAAGTTCATTTCCAAAAAAAAAAGTTGTAACTAATAACAACACAAATATCAGTTCTTACTAAAATATTATGGTCCTGCATTATACCATAAATTATATGGTGCTGTGTTAATTCTACAGTTTCATTTGAGCTTAACAAAATCACACACAATTTACCTGTAACCAAAATAAGAGGAAAATCACCATCTACATAAAATTTCAAACTAGCCTATCCCTTTAAATGAAGCTTCTTGACTCCATGAAGCCTGGGCAACACCAGGTTTAAGTCAGATTTTAATGATAATTTAAATTTTATAATTAATTGCCCTCGACAGAATTTTATGGCAAATAAATAAATAAATACACAAATATTACCTAAAAACTTGTTTATTTTCTTTTAAAACAATTTTTTACAAAACCACCTTTAAAAAGCATACTACTAAATACAAGTTTTTACATATCATAACAGCACAACAATTAAACAAAATATGTACAGTTATTTGAGAACATGAAACAAATGTTTCTTTTGCGTATTGCTTAAGCAGTACTAGCTTTAATGTTCACCAGCTATATATTTTAAATTAGGACAGTAAAGCAACGTACAGTCATTAAAAATTTACATCCACATTAAGCATACAAATAATAACTAATTTAAAAGAAACATCTAAATTTTTACAAATTATTTAAATATTACTTAATTACAATTTTCGAAAAGAAATTCTTAGAATTAAAATCTTATTTCTGACATTTAAAATTAACATATACCACAAGCCAGCATTTCCTAAACTATGTTTCTGCAAATAGTCACAAAGTGTTCAGTGAAAAATTTAAAGTAAGATTACAGAACAACAAAATATTGCCTGTTTTTATTTATTTAACAAAATTTAAAACAACTTTTATAAGAAACATAGATAGAAAACATTAAAAAAAAAGTGGCTTAAATCACATGCATAATAAATTTAGTAATGTAGCATGATACCAGTGACTACAAATGGCATGCATGTAAGATTGCATTTCTGTTAATATTTATATTTTTTGCTTGGCTTGATTTAACTAATTATGAAAAAGCACCTGAGAAAAACCACGAGAACACTCATGCAGCCAACCCATTTGGTGGGATTTGAACCTCAGACTAAACTATCAGTGTTTAGTGACTTTACCGCTTGGCCATTGATGGGCCCTAGTCTGTGCTTGAAATTAAAGAAGTGTTTCTGTATCACTTAAGTATTTTAAAAATTACTTTTATTCTTTTTATTTCCTTTTCTTTTTGAAATTGGTAAGTAATTATAAAAATTTTTAAGCACACCTTTTTTTTTTACCATTAAGAGTACTATTTTTTTAAAAAATTAATTGATTTTAAAACTGATTCCAGCAAAAAACAAAAATTTAAAAAGTAACTGTTAAATGAATTTTGCATAAGTTTGTCAGAAGAATATCCAAACTTATCAAAATGTGCTACTCATATTTTACTTTCTGTTGTGAGAACGTATTTGTACAAGACAGGTTTTTCACATTATGCTGCAACAAAATCCAAATACGGAAACCGACTTGATGTTGCAAATAATGTAAAAATTCAGGTTTCTAGCGTTGTGCCTGATAACAAAAGAATCTGTACTTTGAAGACTCAAAAGCATCATTAGGCATTAAGAACTAAAAATGTTTTATTTACTTTTCATATTATTTATTTCAACTAATTAGTTTGATGTGTCATTTTCTGTGAAATTTAAGTCTAAAGACGTCTAAAGTCAAGTCTAAAGACGTGAAGTCTAAAGTTGTTTCTTTTATAGGTGTGAAATAATTGAAATAATTGTTTATTTTATTTATCACCCTCACTTTATCATCTGTGTTGTCATTTATCATAACTAAAAAATCTAAACTTTAACTTGTATCTATGTTATATTTAACATGATAACATTTAACTTATACCTAAGTTATAATACTTATAATACTACTTATAATAACTGAAAACTCAAATTTACTCAAGTGTTCCAATTTAAAAGGTATTGATTCTGCAATGAGAAAAGTTTGGGAAATACTGTCATTGGCAGTAGTTAAAATCAAGATTAGCAATGAAAAACAAGCTCGGTTATCCTGATCTTATACTACGGATTGCCAACACTCATATAATTTCACACATTTTCTCATAATTCTGATTTTAAAATCATATAAACAAAAGATGGAAATACACAGACTGATTAAAACAGTCTAAATCCTTTTTAGAAGGTCCTAAGCTCATTACCCTTGTTTTTATCAAAGAATAACAGGTTTATGTTGAGTTACATGATGATTCAACATCCCACTAAAATCTAGGACTCTAGATCTGAATTTCAGAGGTTTAAGCAGTACAAATCAAGCCCTGAAGAATGGGAAATATTTCTCTATTAGAAAATATATATGTATCATTTCTTCAGAACTCAACATAACTTTTCTTTCACCATATCTAATTACTTTTCCTTAAAATATTATATGCAAATCACAGAAACCCTATTACTTTAAAATAAGGGTAATATGTAAAAGCATATTTCACTGAATATATTTAGTCTTGAACAACTTTCTATGAATTTTCAGACATTTTTGGAAATCTTATAATATTTAAACATGTAAAAATATTTCTCAAACGTAATTTAACGGAAAATTTATTCCATAATTTTTTTAAATTAGCATTAAAATTACCATCATGACCCACCTCCTCTTCCCCGAAAAAAAAAATTCATTAACATATATTTATAAAAACATTTTGCTAAGCCCTTCTTAATAAATAAAGTTTCTGATCAAAACATCTTTCAATTGAAGAAGGTTTTGATTTTACAAATGTTAAGCCAGTTAAACAAAATGTTGTGCATCAAGTATTATTGTTGCATTCAATTTTTACTGTCCTAATTTACATGTCAAAATTTCTAAATCAAACTGTTTACTTTGACAGTAATATTTTCGGTTGAGTCTGACATTTAACAAAGTAAAGAATATCTTCACATTTTATAACAAGACATATACATTTACATGCATTATTTTCAGTTTCAACTAGAACTATTGATTTTGTGATAACATGAGAAGTCTGTAGCATTGCCTAAGATTAGAAGCTCTGGCTCGTGAACATGGAATATCCATTGTATAAGAAGCTGGAAACCATCCCTGAAGTCCATCTCGAAGTCTTCTGCCTTCATACCATCCTTAGAGATGATAATTTAGATTAGATTCAGTCTAATACTTTAAGAGCTACACAAAAGTTTCACTTACAGAGAATGAAATTTATTTATGTGCAATTAGTGACAATTTTAATAATTAACAAGAAGTGTTATATTGTTGCTAAATGAAATATAAGAAAATGTATCTATAAAAATGATAAAAAAAAGTCACATGTAGTTTTTTACTACAGTTTAAAGTTAAAAATCTTTGAACAAACATACAGACAATATATAAATAAAAATTAAAGTAATAATTATATACTAAAAATTGTCACTGCCAACAAAGTGTGACAGTAAATTATAAATATTAAAATCAAAATTTATATGAAAAAGACCAAATTAAAAAATAAGAAATTATGCATAATAATTTACGCAAAGAGAAACTGATACTATATCCAGCATATGGTGCACAAAAATCTGGTTCTTTCTCCTTAACTTAGCAGACATTTTGTTAATTACCATCAAACTTAAAATAAAATTATAAAATACATACAGGCTTCTGAGAAATTCAGATCATCATCATTACACACTTCATTTTTGTTATACAGTCAAAAGTCGTTAATACGGACTCGTCGGGACTTCGGCGATTCCAGATTATCGATTTTTCCGGATTATAGATCATCAGTTTAAATCTGGTAAGATGGCATGCAGAAATTATAAAATTAAAAATATGAAACCGTAATTTATGAAATAAAGAACAATTATGATCTAAAGGGAACAAAAAAAAAAAAAAAACTTAAAATTTATTTGTTTACTTTATTAAACATTTCTTTCAATGTAAGTTGTTTAACTTGCTTCGTTTTATGTGATAATACTTTCTCTTTAATTCCATAAACAGACATAATTTCTTCTTCAGTTACAAAGTTCCGCTGTTCAAGTCCTATAATTGCTGTGTTGAGAATACCGACTACTTTGTCAATCGAAATTTTTTCATTTTCAATAACCTCTGTGTCACTTTCTTCACTATCGGAAGCGAATTATAATGACGAGGAATTTGATTTAAATCATATCAAAGACTGAGTACATCGAGATGAAAGTAAGGAATTATGAGCCAAATAAAATAAAAACATCTGCCCTGAAGATAAGGATAGTGCTGACAGATCAGTTTCCAATTCATTGCACGGTGCCATGGCGTTAAAGATAAATAAAGTTTAGATAAACAAACGTTAAAGTTTAGATAAACAAAGGATATGCCTTTATCCATTTTTTGCAGCAATTCCACTTTTTTGTTTAATGGACTTCAAAACACACTTTTGCTTTGTAGATCCTTTACATATTAGTAAACATATATCAGAAATTCTATTTGACATAATCGAAAGTTCAAGCTTACTTTTATAAAATTGCTCTAACAGTCTGCAAAAAATAATAAGCCAGATCCAATTTGAAGATTAAGGAACAACGCAATCTGCAACATTAACTGAATTAGATAATTTTAGCTTAGCTTATACCGTCCGTTATACATTAAACACGCATGCATAAATGTATTATGAGTATGTGCACACGCTATTCGCAGCCGTAAAGGTCTTACGCACCCGTCAAAGCGACGCATGCGCAGAAAGTTTGTACCTTTGAGGTCCGGATTATAGATCATTCTGGATTATGGGTGTCCGAATTAACGACTTTTGACTGTATTAATCATAGGGAAATACTGCTTTGACAAGGCTGGAGTTTATAATGAATTAAGAGTTTGATTTCATATGACAAGGAAACAGTTTTGCTCCCTACTGATATTTTATGAAGCTTAATAGAATATTTCTTGATCAATAATATTGCAATTCATCTACAATATCCATTTTTACTTGGATTTTAGTTCTTGTTTTAAGTGTAAAATAAAATTATTATTTATTATTAATAGACCTAATAAATTTTATTTTTTCAGATTGACACCTGTTGATTGACAGATATGTACAAACTGACAGCTACTAAACTAATTCCTAGATCATTATGAAAGTTCTCTTGAATGTTTTATATTTGTGATTCTCTATAAACAGATTTTAAAGTAATTTTAACTATGAAGCAACTCAATATTTAAAAATAATCTAACTAAGGACTCTTAATTAAGCCAATTAAAAAAATGAATGGTCTAGTTTTCTTGAATGTTTTATATTAGTGAGTCTTTATAAAGGTTTAAAGCACTTTTAAGACACAAGCAGGTATTTTAAAATAATTTAACCATGAAATCTAAATAATGGTCTTTAATTAAACTATATAAATGGTATAAAAGTAATTAATTATAAATACCTGAGGATTATACAAGAGCTTTACATCATACATTCATTTTTGGATGTCAGAATATGTAATGTTTATTACTAAACTCAAATTGATTATTTTGCTTTTCTGATTTTTAATAAATCAACAGTGCTAAAAACTTATAAATCATTTGAAAATGTGAATTATCAGGTAGATAATCAGGATTCAGATACATGCATTTTAAGATTTGGACTTTTCAGAAACAATAGCATTATGCTCTCATCTTATTGCGATTGTATTCTTTGCATATACAGTCAAAAGTCCTTAATTCAGACACCCATAATCCGGACCTCAAAGCTAAAATCTTTCTGCACATGTGCCGCGTTGACGCATGCGCATAGGCATTTACGCGTGCACGCAAGACCTTTACGACTGCGCATATGCGTCTGCGCAAGCGCAGAATACGTTTTCGCACGCGCGTTTAATGTATAACGGACGGTGTAAGCTAAAATTATCTAATTCAGTTAATGTTGATGATTGCATTGTTCTTTAATCTTCGAATTGGATCCGGCTTATTATTTTTTGCAGACTGTAAGAGCAATTTTATAAAAGTAAGCTTGAACTTTCAATTATGTCAAATAGAATTTCCGATGCTGGAGCTCCCAAAGGATCTAGAAAACGAAAGTATGTTTCGATGTCCATCAAACAAAAAATGGATAAAGGCATATCCTTTGTTTATCTAACCGTTCCGAAATATGTTTATCAATTTCAGGCTGCTCTGCGCCGGGGGGGGGGGGGGTCGTGGCGGCACGCAATGAACTGGAAGTTGATCTGTCAGCACTATCCTTATCTTCAGGGCAGATGTTTTTATTTTATTCGGCTTATAATTCCTTACTAAATGTAGTAGTTCATTTTGATATACTCCATCTTTGATATGATTTAAATCAAATTCCTCGTCATTATAAATATCACGAAAACACATCAAATAGTTTTCTGGTTGCAATTTTCTAATTTCGGCTATGCGTAAGGTATGCTTTACGCATGCGCGCATTGAAAGAAATGTTTAATAAAGTAAACAAATAAATATTAAGCTTCTTTTTTTGTAAATTTTGATACCCTTTAGATCATAATTGCTCATTATTTTATAAATTATGGTTTCATATTTTTAATTTTATAATTTCTGCATGCCATCTTACCAGATTTAAGCTGATGATCTATAATCCGGAAAAATTGATAATCCGGAATCGCCGAAGTCACGACGAGTCCGGATTAAAGACTTTTGACTGTACTAATTATAATATTATATTTTTACAGATTATTCCATTTGACTAAATCTCATACAGAAATGTTTCTAAATAATAATAACAAATAGAATTAGAAAAGAATTAACAAATAATCAATTAAAGTCTAAAAAAAATTCATTAATTGAATTCACTGTTTTACCCTGCATTAAAACAAAACTTTTACTAGTAAAATCAAAGCAGGGATATGTTGTTGCTGAAATTACATGTAGACTGAAGAATCCAAATAATCTGATGTAAAGCATTTTCTTGATTAACCTTTCTCATACTTCTTCCAGAACAATATGTAGAAAGTCATGTTTGCTACTGATTATTATATCTGAAAATGGTTAGACATTTTGGTACTAATCTGATATCAGGACCAGGTCTAGAAATATATGTATGCATGGATGGATGGATGGATGAGTTCATGTATGCATGTATATATGTACATACAAATGTATCTGCATGTGTACACACATACATACACATGTGCCCACATATATATGCTTCTGAATCCTGTCCTTATAACAGAAAATACCGACATTTTTAAAAGAAATAAAAAAGAAAATTCTTAATAATTTATTATTAAGTTATATATTTACCATCATTCATTTTCCTATGTATGGTAACCACATCAGATTCTTGGAGAGAAAGCTCATCTGGCTGTTGAGCTATATAACTGCGGACACACTGAACTTGTGGACAATCTATAAACAAAAGAATTTATAAGCAAATACAAGACTTCTAATATTAAAATTGCTTATTAAATGTAATGTTATTAGTAATGGAAAATTCCACATAGGGAGTTAAATAATACAAATATTTGGGGACAATATAATGTGAGAAGCTTTGGAAATTTAGAAAAGAAAAATTATTTTGTATAAGAAAGAACCGTTTCTTTAATATATTTATAAAACTCTATTATAAATTTAGTCTGTAGAAGTCTGTAATCATCGTCAAACACAATGTATGGTTACCATGTTTTCTGGTATTCAGTTACTAATGTTTAATAAAAAATGTTTAGACACCACTGCATGAGTCATTTCTCATGTTGCTGAGTGTTTATTGTCATGCAAAGACGAAAGCAAAAATTCATGAACAATGATTTGCTAAACTGGCATCAGGGATATAAAGTATTCAGTAGGTGTAAAATCAATGATGTTTCAATGTAGAATGTTTTGCTCTGAGGTGTATGCCAAGTAAAAAAGCTAAATTATTGATCATACAGATTTAAACTAATAAACGATTGTTTCTTCAAGTTGAACGTATTTTATTTAATGCTGAAGTAAAATTAAGAATTGGAACTCTCTGTTTTATTATGAAAAAATATCAAATGCACAAGCGGAATGCACACAATAAAATTTCAAAAACCCCAAAAAACGGGGTGTGCTCTATCTGGAGAGCTGGATTTTAGATCATTTTAGATATAGGATATCTGAATTTTGGACTCTGTAATGTATACAGCTTTCTAATTTTATCATTCATGTTTTATTATCCATGTAATCTCTACATATAATAAAAGAAAGAGTCTGTCTGTGTTTGTGTGTCTTTCGTTTGTGCTGCGCGTAAGCTAATAGACCCACGGCTACAAAACTTGGTACATAGGTGCATCTAGACAATAGCCAGTGCACCTCGAAGCGATATTTTCGAAATTAGAATTAGAATTTTTTTTTATTTTATGTTTTGTGACGAAATCGCGTGATTTTGAGACATAATGGGCTATAGGAAAGCGAAATTTTACTCTAAACACTCCACTTTCACATCGTCATGAAACATAGGTACTTAGCTATTTTACGAACTTAGAATAAATTTCGTGTTTCAATAAATCGATTAAATACGAATTTATTTAATAAAGGGAGCTTAACATCTTTTCAACAGGATTTTTTCTTAAAAAGTTTATTTTTAAAAATGCACAGTTTATTTTCCTTTGATTTTTGGACATTTTAAACTTTCATCCTTGCGACTGCTTTTACAAAAAGAATTTTGGAAAAACGATACTATTTTGTATTTTTAAAGAATTTTTTAAATGAAGCTTCTGAGTACACTTCTGACGTCTCACATCTTTAAAAATGTGATTTTGGCTACAATTTTCCTGTCTTATTGTTGTTGATAGATTTTTGATGAAATTGCATCAATTTGAATAGTTTCATTCTTTTAGAAATATGGGCTTGGCAACAATTTTTCATCGTATTTCTTATGTCGCTGTTTCTAAGAGATTGGCATATTTCATTGTAATTTATATATATATATGATACATTTTTATTGATTTTTTTTTTGATAAAGTTGTTCTACAGAGTAAAATTCTGCACAGAACTTGCTATGTTTTTTGAGTTGCTTTCATGTTATTTTTTGCTTATTTCACTGTTTATAAGATACTGAAAAGTTTTGCATGATTTTTTTTCTTCGACATAAAGTTGGTTAATTTTTTAATTAGGATAATTAATATTTGTATTAAGGGATATAGCTTAATTCATTGTAATTTTTTTCTCTTGAAAATATAAGATAAAATATCATTAATTATACTCTGCTTTTCAGATTTTTTTTTTTTTTTTTTTTTTTTGTATTTATTGACAAAACTTTACTTTTATGTTATTTATGTTATTTAATTAAACTTTGCTTTTATGTTATTTATTGCTAATTTCACTGTTTTTAAGATATTGAAAAGTTTTGAGTGATTGTTTTAGGAAACAAAGTTCTTAAACCTCCTTTATACCATTTGAGTTCTTAAGATTTTGCAAAGAGAAGTTGGTTAATTTATTTATTAGGATAATTAATATTTGTAGTAAGGGATATTGCTTATTTCATTGTAATTTTGTTATACGTAATAACTTTTTTTTTATGAAGTTGTTCTGCAGAGTAAAATTCTACGCAGTTTTTAAATTTAACGTTTGGTGTTCCCTTCAGCCATTTTTCCGGTATATTTAAAAGCCAGACGAAGGCTGCAGCAAAGCTGCTAGTATAGTATAAAGTCCGGACTTCCACTATCTAGAATGACCTAAAATCTAGACCTCAAAATCACTAACAAGGTAACAGTTTTTTTTTTTTTTTTTTTTTTTTTTTTTTTTTTTTTTTTACAGATATTCATTGCACTTCCTAATAAACATTTTCCTAATAAAACATGTCAAGAGTCCAAATTCTTAATTTTTCTTCAGCACTATTTAAAATATATCCATATCTAAAAAATATTTTTTTATTATCATAAATCTGTATGGTCAATAATTTGGCTCTGTAGCCATCTTTTTGCTTGGCATACATCTCAAAATGAAACATTCTACATCAAAACATCATAGATTTTACACTCACAGAATAATTTATATCCCCGATACCAACTTAATGAATCCTCATTTCTTATTTTTTGCTTGCATCACTGCATGATTTTTAACAGAGGGCAGCTTCAGAAATGAAATCACAGAGTGATGCCTAAACTTTTGTTTTAAATATTAGTAAATGAATACCAAACAACATTTCAAGTTGACATTAAGCTTGGCAACTGTTACAGTCTTCAGCTAACTGCATTTCAGAGTGCTGAGTGTGTTGATGAGGAGAAATTTAACAGAAATTTATTTCCATATGCAAAAAATAGATTTTTTACATGATACTATGGCATTTCATTGGCCAAAAGAATAAATTTAGTGTTGCTTGAATTGACAATAACTGAAATGTTATACAAATAAGCCTAGCACCGTCATCACAGCTGGTGTGGCTGCACTGGACAGCAGAATTAGGGAAGGTAAAATTTTACAATTTTGAAAGCACCAAAGCAACAAAATTAAAAAATGACAAAAATCTTTAAAATTTTGAGAAGGAACTGGAATATAAAATTTTTAGACTATAGGAAGGCTCTTGGTGTCAGAATTCAGGACATGCAGAGACTACACCGAGTCCAACACTGGTATATGTGAAAGTAAGTATGGTTACTGGTGTATGTGGTTAAGTATATATGAAAATTTATTCATTCAGGACTCAGAGAAGCCTTAAGCATATGTGGGAAATAGGGCTAATTATCCTAAATAATTAACTAATATGATTCAGGCTTAACTTTGCCAATGTACGATAGATGGAAGACAAAATTTAGCAGAACAAAATGTCTTTAGTTGGCAATCTCATGATATATTGGCAATAGTGTACAGCAGACGTCAACTACGCTTATGATGATAGCCGCAAATTTTTTATGATGATACAATTATGATGACAGCCAAATAAAGGTTTTCAAATATCACAAACAAAAAGTACTATTTTCCGACCTAATCCTCACATATAATAAAAGATCACAATAAAGAGATTACATTGCAGTTCGAACTTTTTACCAATAATTTCTCATGTATAAATGTGCCATGTACAGTACAAAGTCCGAAATCCGGACATCTATTATTCGGAATGATCTAAAATCTGGACCTCAAAACCACCACCAACGTATTTTTTGTAGGTTTTACGCACGTGCATTTGATTTCCCCTTCCATGCATAATAAAACATCTGGAGAGTGCTGATTCTTAATTTCACTTCGATACTAAATAAAATACCTTGTTATTGAAGAAATAATCATTTTAGCATAAATTTGTATAATCAGTAATTTGGCTCTGTAGTTGTGTATCTGCTTTCGCACAAATCTCAAACCAAAACATTCCACATAGATACATCGTTGATCTGATGCCAACCTGGGAATCATTATTTATTATACTTTCCTTTCATCATCGCATGTTTATCAAAACATGACAACTTGAGTAATGACTCATGTAGGGGATGCCTAAACAATTTCTTTGTTAGTAATTGAATAATAAATGAGTATGTTTCTTGACATTATGTATTTTATGTTGACATTAAGTTAGGCAATAAATACAGATTTAAGTTAAATGCACTAAAAAATGTTGATGAGGAAAAATTTACCAAAAATTTCTTTTGATATGTTAAAAATAGATTCTGTTGATGATACCTATAGACCCAAAGATTACATTTAGTATATGTGGGAATTTATTTATTCAGAACTCTGATAAGCCTTAAGCATGTGCAAGAAATAAACATAAGTACAATAAATAACTAAACTAATACAATTCAGGCTAAATTATCTCAGGGTGCGATTGAAGCAAGATAAAATTTAACAGAACAACTTGTCGTTTGTTGTCAAGCTCATGATGCATAGCTAAATATGTATAGTGAAGGATAGCTAAATTTGATAATGATAGCCGCTAATTTTAAACGTTTTCAGATATCTCAAAACAAAGGTGAAATTTTCCAATTAATGGATTTTGTGGTTGTATCCTAGCAGAGCCCACACCCTTTGCACGTCCATTTATATGGCGCATATCAATGTGTACATGGATAAAGGGAGTGTGCAATGCCAAGTTTGTGCAATTCTCTGATATTTTTTTTAAGTGAAAATAGGTCGATGTGTACATGGATACTGAGTTTGTGCAATTCTTTAACTTGTTATTTTTAAGTTGGCGATTTGAGGAACGTGTGAAGCAGTGGTGATTATGCACTTTCCTGGTTTGTTGCTATGGGTGTGAGCTCTTCTAGGATTTTACCGATTTTGTAAAGAAATGTGAGGAAGCGGTAATAAATGAAGATCATATAAAAGGAAGTTTTTCATAAATCATTACTGAATGGCAAAATCTGTAGTATAGTTCTAGATCCAGAAAATACCGCTACCGATAGTGAAGAAAGTGACAGAGAAGTTACTGAAAACGAGAAAATTTCGATTGACAAGTTAGGCCGAATTGACTTCAACAATGTAACTAAACAAGAGATTATGTCTGTCTACGGAATTAAAGAGCTTGTATTAGCACAAAAAACGAAGCAACTTAAACAACTTACTTCGAAAGGAATGCTTAATAAGGTAAACAAATAAATAGTAAGCGTTTTTTTTTTTTTTTTTTTAATTTTTATATTCTTTAGATCATAAATATTTCATTTTCCCCTAAATCATGATTTCATATTTTTAATTTTATAATTCTACATGCCATCTTACTAGGTTTAAACTGATGATTCAATATCCGGAAAAATACCAAATCCGGAATCGTCAAAGTCCTGATGAGTTTGGCTTTCGAGCTTTGTACTGTATTGTAGAAATTTAATTCTTATTATAACAAAAGATTTTATATATGAAATCGATAGTACTCTTAAAGTGTTTGCAACACTCTTTGAAAATATTAATATTAAGAGGAAAAATACTTGTAAAATTGTAAATCAGATTCAAAGACGGTGAACTTTATATCTTCCCAGTAAATTCTAAAATATGATGACTTGTTTCAATATAAATCCTCTTGCAGTAAGCAGAATAACTATTCATTGTATAAAAAATATTCTTAATTTACCTTCCCCCTCGTAAGAAAGAGAAACAAGAAGTAATGTACAATTACCATATTCCCATACTTCACAGGGCTTGTTTTCAGGCACGGAATGAATAGCTTCAATCCAGCGAGTTCGTTCACTCCTATAATCAAGTAAAAGAAATATTCTTCAAATTTTAGCATTCGCTGAAGTATAAAAAGAAAGAACATAGGCTAAATGTATTTCTTTGCATAGTATTATTTAATAATTAAAATGTTTTAGCATAAAATTGAAAATATAATTACAGAACTTTGAACTACATAAACTGAAATATAACATTCCATCAAGAAACTTTTTGGACTAAATTTATTCAATCAGTCCAGTGAACCTACCAAAACCCGTATACTGTTACTTTAAAATAGGAACTTCAAGCTAGTTATCAGCCTCCTCCTACACCATTTGTGATCATGTCAACATCACGTCTTAGCATTTACTTTATCCCTGCCATTTGACACTGTAGTTCAAATCAACTGTGCTTTGTCAGATTTCTTTGTATGCAGCTGAAACCTGGAAGGGATCACACAACCTATGTTCTATACCTTAATTACTTAGAATTCTGGAAAAAGAATTAATTTTTAATTTCATCTCGTTTACAAACAGAATCACTACTAATAATAATGCTACTTGATTAATAATGCTAATCTTCCCAGAATTAATTAAATACATATTTAATGTAGAGAAACATATCAAGCAAAATATGTAAATTTAGAATTTACGCAAAGAAATATATAAGTCATACAAACAACTGAGTGTGTGCAATTTTGGTTTAGTGGAAAACTGATGCTAAATGGAAATTAATTTGGAGGGCACGAATATTAAAGCTCGCGAATTATTTTCTGCAGCTGTCGTTTTCATGGTTATGAGTCAAATCAGGTGGTACAAAATAACTTTGAAGTTGTTATTTTAAAGTAACAGACTATAGTGATAGTGGTTAATGGTATAATTTCAATTTATTTCTATTAAAGTATTATCTACTTAGGGAAAGAAATTTGAATGTCTCTTTGTTTGATTCTAGGCTGTTGATACATGCTGTTATGCATTCAATGACAGAGAAGGAAAGAGCCAGAAAGTTTTCTTTACACAATGGCAAATGTTACTAAGCTTTGTCACTCAGAAATGTATAACTGTTGTTGATTATTCCACTTATTCAAGGATCCAGTATTTTCTGTTCCCTTTTCATCTTAAAAGACACCATTTTGAGGGCATTTTAGAAATTCTTCAAACTATAAAGGTGAGAAGAAAACAGCAGCACATCTTAAAGATTTAAGGTATTTCAACCTCCCACTTCCACTCGATTTTTAGTTTTAAAAATGAAAACATTTTCATTTCTTAAAAGTGACACTTAAGTAGTTTTTTATTAAGCTAGAATTTTTACCTCTGAATTAATGTTATCATCCAGTCATATAAAATAATCTCTGAATAATTTATTTGGTTATCAGAGTTTTACTATACATCAAAAATTTATTTACAGAGCATATTTTTGCAAATTTTTTTCATCACAATTCCCTTTCCTTTTTGCATAAAGTTTAGTACACAAAACTATAAACAGGAATAGTCCTCTTGCATTCTGATATGCACTGACATAAAAATTGAAAATATCATCCTTAGTATTTGCTTTCAACACTGACGTACCTTAACAGAAAGGAATAATTACATTAGTTATTTCATGAAGCAAACTACAACAAAATAGGAGTTAGATATTTCTAATCTGAATTTTATTAGTGATGTGAGATCAAGAGAGATATAATTTATATCAAGAAGAGTAATTTTATAATGGACATAGATATATTTCAATAATAGACTTTCTTTTTAAACTACTAGCTAAAACTTCATCAGTTCAAAATTCCAAAGCTTCTATGAATATAGCTTCGTCTGAATTTCAATTTCTTTTCAGTTCTTTTATATGAATATTCCTTGTTCCCAAGAAATGAAGAAACATTAATTTTTAAAATTAATTTTGATTTTCTAATTTTTATACAAATCATTTGCTATTTACATTTGAATATTTAAAGAATAATTGATTCTTTGTAATCTAAATGTATGCAAAACAGGAAAAAAGAAATGTTTTATGTTTACCGTAAACATTTACTAAATAATTTAAATTATCAAAGTCAATTCATTTTCTAAGGTTCTGTTTCTAATGAAAAATTAAGCACAACTTATATAGCTCATTCAATTAACTTAGTCATAAATAGTTTTGCCAATTATTTAAATTAAAATACTTAATATACTGCCATTTCTTTTTTAACTCAATTTTAAAAAGCTAATCCATAAAATTTGAAGTTTATCTTCAAAATCAAAAACAATAAAATACATTCTCTCCTTAATTTTTTTATAGTAACGGTTCGAATATTAACACTGTTCAAATAATATCATGAAATTAAATATTGGATAAAATAAAAAAAAAAAAAAAAACAATTTGAAACACATTTATGCATATACAACAACAATTATTTGTTTTTACAGTTAGATAGGAAAGCAAAATTCAAGTCTTCACTTTTATTTGCAAACACTTGACCAAAGAGTCATGCAGCTCTCTTTACTATGTACAATCAAAGAGTTTCAATGGAATCAAGCAAAGAACTTCCTATTTAAGTTCTTTGGCACAATTATCTTCTTTCGTGAAGTTATAGAAACAAAATGGCAAAAGCCTTCATATTTTATCACAAGGAAAGACTGCTTGCACTACAACCAATCCACTTAAGGTAAAAATAAGACTATCAATTGAAATACCATGAGACAAATTTTATTTATATTTTTCCACATAGTCCTTTTACATTTGAGCCTGACATCATGACATTTAAATTCTTCATGCAAGCAAAAATTGGTTCTTCATGGTAGTTCAATTACAATGTCACTACGTTTGTCTATGCTTTGAAGTTGGCCTAATCAGCCTACAATAAATACTACTGGATAAATGATTGTTCCAAAAGCTGGTATCTATTAAGTAATCACAAGATGAGATGTATAGTATCAAAAGAGATGTATGCATGAAATTAAATAGAGGTAAGTTTTAGATCTTTCCTTTAAGATCACACTTCTTTATGTATTCCATCTTAAAACTTTTTAGATGCATTTTGTATACAGATAATTTTAAAAACAGTTTGTTGTTGTAACAACCAATTATGGTAACACCCAATCGCAATAATAACAACCTAATTTTTGACACACCCAAATTCAAGTTAACTTTCGTCCCCATTGGACAAAAAGATTATGAAGTTGGTGCACCAACTAATTTAATTCAAATTTAAGAGTTTTAAATGTAAACAAATTTCCACCAGGTTAGGCCTAGCAAGAAGCTCGGTGGCGCAGTGGTTAGCACGTGCAGCAGCACCACAGGTCCATGGTTTGATCCACGGGTTGGACAACATTGACTCAGCCTTTCATCCCTTGAGAGGGTCAATAAAATGAATACCAAATTTGCTTGGGGACTAAACACCAGGTGTCCTATGACCAAGCTGACCACTTGTCCAGGCTATATACTCAGGCACCCCGGGGCCTACAGTCTTTAAAGCAAACATCAGGGCACTGCTGGCCATGGCTCTCTCTAAGGGCTGTTTGTGTTGCCAAGTTTAGTTTTAGTTTAGGCCAAGCAACACTTTTAAATTGTTGATAATTCTACAACTATTGTATGCAAATAATTAACTAAAGCCATAAAAACCTTAACCGGAACATAAGAAAACATCATTCAACCACTTTTAACACAAAAAATGCCCATTTACCAATCCATAAGAATATTTTTTTAAAAAAGAGATCACCAAGCTGGGTAAGGGGGTTGTACCCAAACACACATAAATATATACAGTCAAAAGTCATTAATCCGGACTCGTCGGGACTTCGGCGATTCCAGATTATCGATTTTTCTGGATTATAGATCATCAGTTTAAATCTGGTAAGATGGCATGCAGAAATTATAAAATTAAAAATATGAAACCGTAATTTATGAAATAAAGAACAATTATGATCTAAAGGTATCAAAATTTACAAAAAAAAAAAGCTTAATATTTATTTGTTTACTTTATTAAACATTTCTATCACTGTAAGTTGTTTAAGTTGCTTCGTTTTTTATGTGATAATACATTCTCTTTAATTCTATAAACAGACATAATTTCTTCTTCAGTTACAAAGTTCCGCTGTTCAAGTCCTATAATTACTGTGTCGAGAATACCGACTAATTTGTCAATGGAAATTTTTTCGTTTTCAATAACCTTTGTCACTTTCTTCGCTATCGGAAACGAATTATAATGACGAGAAATTTCATTTAAATCATATCAAAGACGGAGTACATCGAGATGAAATACTACATTTAGTAAGGAATTATAAGCCAAATAAAATAAAAACATCTGCCCTGAAGATAAGGATAGTGCTGACAGATCAACTTCCAATTCATTGTGCCGCGCTACGGTGTTAAAGATAAACAAAGTTTAGATAAACAAACGTTAAAGTTTAGATAAACAAAGGATACGCCTTTATCCATTTTTTGCAGCAATTCCACTTTTTGTTTAATGGACTTCGAAACATACTTTCGCTTTGTAGATCCTTTACATATTAGTAAATATATATCAGAAATTCTATTTGACATAATCGAAAGTTCAAGCTTACTTTTATAAAATTGCTCTAACAGTCTGCAAAAAATAATAAGCCGGATCCAATTCGAAGATTAAGGAACAACGCAATCTGCAACATTAACTGAATTAGATAATTTTAGCTTAGCTTATACCGTCCGTTATACATTAAACGCGCACTCATCAACGTATTTTTGCACACACGCACATGTATATTCGCAGCCGTAAAGGTCTTCGCGCATGCGTCAACCCGACGCATGCGCAGAAAGTTTGTAGCTTTGAGGTCGGATTATAGATCATTCCGGATTATGGGTGTCCGATTAACAACTTTTGACTGTATATATAATATATATATATATATATTATATATATGAATGTTGTAATGTACAAAAGAAAACACTGTAAGTTTTAACAGCTTTCGATATCCATCATGGCTGGTAGTTAAGCATACAAATGAAGGCAACAAAACTGAATTTCGACAAATCACCAGTCTTTATTTTCATAGATATCCAATTAATTTGGCAGACACTTATTCAGTCATAACTAAATATGCTAAATTAAAAAAGAAATGATGCAGACATTTAAGAAGTGAAGCAGTGAGAAGATCTTAGCAAGGTAGAAGTTAGCAAAAGAATTATGTAATTAATTCACCAGCAGTATTTATACTGACTATATGTGGAAAGTACTCTAAGCTATGACTGGTTAATTTTGGGTTTTAGTTTCATTTTTCAAGCAGTGTTACACAACATGAAAAGTCTCAAATTTGGAAGAATAGATGAATTTAGGAGGAGAGCACCAAATCTAGAATAGTTAATTTTGAGGTCGCCAATTATTTTTAAAGCAGCTATCATGTTTTCTTATATTTTACATGTTAAGGGGGTGGTGCCCAAATGCACATATATGTTTGTGTGTGTAATGATAATGTAGTTCGTTGTAGATAATTTGATATTAGATGAGCGCTTAACTAGGGATGACATCAATTATTCTGCAGTTTTGCAGTTTCAAGTGGATTGAAGTTAGAAGATCACTGAAATATTGATTTACATAGTAGAGAGTGCTAGGAACTTTTGGAGAATTACAAAATCACTTGATAATCCATACATATCTTTATTACTTGCTGATTACTTTATGGCATGGCCTATCACAATGGGGACCATTGTAGAATTTTTATTATGACATATTACATTTTTTACAATGAATAAAAGCAACCAAGCAAGAAATGTCCTTTAGCTACCAAGTGTACACAGCAAAAGAGAAAGCATAGTTAGTTGCAGTACTATTCATAAGCTTAGAAATTCTTTGTTTTAGTTCTGGATAGCGATTGAGCAAAGGTCTGTGACAATGCAAACGCTGCAGAGACAGTGTGTAGAAGTGACAGAGCTTGTATTTAAATTTAAATCATAAATTTATAGGCCTGTTGTCAATTTGTTCAATTATGTTTTAATTTAGTAATAAATTTTTCTTCATATATATATATATAATATATATATATTATAATAGATTCAAAAGCAGGAACAAATCAATTTACACAAAATCTTGAAGCATTAATAATTTTTTCACCAATCACTTGAAAAGCACTTCATTTTTGCAGCTGACGAAAAGCAAAACACAAGCAGCAGATGATTTGATGCTCTAATCAATGTCCTTAACCCACTGTAGATGATGAAAAGTTAAACGCGCATTAAAATAATACACAGGAGCTTTTTCCCCCCGCACAGAAAATCCAGTTGGCTAAATATATATGTATGGCCAGCCACACTAGAAAAGGGAAGCATAGAAATAAATGTTATAGTAGTTCCATATACATATTTTCAATGTTCTATGACTATGAAAAAAAAATTCCTTCTGAATCCATTGTACGATCCGATTTGGTAAAAATACTGTATATTCTGTCCATATATACAGGAGTCACACACACAAAAAAATCCTCCAAATGGATTTTGGAGTGGTCAAAATGGATATTTCAGTCGAAATATGATATCCAAAATTTTTCGTGGTTACAATAGTACTTCCTTTACTTCATACAAGGAAGTAAAAACTTATAAAAAAAATTAAATGAGGAAGAGAAGAAATTCCGTAAACATTTTATGTTTAAAGTGAAAGTTAAAAACATAAAATTTATAAATATGCAAATACTTACAATAATGCACAATTCAGGATCATATCTACAGCACTGCCTTGATGATTATTAAATAAAGTGAGATAAATCAAGTATCTACAAGTATTTGGTACTACAACAGGTTGCTGCAAATCCTTTGGATTTATGGGCATGGCTTGAACTTTTTCTCTAGGACAGTAATCCACAACTATGTAACTATCTTCACTGCAAGAAAAAATATAACATTAAAAATCTATTCAAATCTAAGCAGCCTAATTAAACAGTAAAATATTATTATTTCTCTTAAGTAAATATTTGAAAAAACTTTATCCACTTCTGCATACAAAAATGAGGAAATATGGAAAGGGATTAATGTTATAAAACTACTTTCTAAAGCATTTAATACCTTTAGTTTGAAGATGACATAATGATACTTTGTTTGAAAGACATATATTACTTGAAAAGAGAATTCTTAATATCATTCCTCCATTACCATAGTATAAATCAATACAGCGTTCTATAATCTGAAAATAATATGCACTGCAAAATTACTTTTTTCGCTTCGTAACAACTAGCAGGTCATTGAAGAGGAAAATAAATACAGGAACACGAACACAACGACTTGATCGCCCAAATGTTTTTTTGTCAAACTCCAGTTTCACAAGCTCCCCTTTTTTTAACAGCCATCTAGATGCTGATATTAGAGGAATAACCTAATAAGTAGAAAACAGAAAAAAAACACAGAATTTTAGGTAATTATAGTTACAAGCTAACTTTTAAAAGGCAAATTTTGTTGACTTCATTGCAGACTTTTACCTTGCAGTCTTTGAATTCTAACTGTTTATTCAGTACAAACATTTCTTCTAGTCTTTCCATTTTCCTTGCACCTTCATTACATTCCATAAAAATCTAAGCAAACATTAAATTAATTATCAAGAAAAATATCTAACACACAAATTGGAATTAAAATTTAATTTCAAAATTGATTATAGAAATGCATACAATATTGCAATTTAAGAAATAGTATATTAAAAATAAGATCATGTTCATAATTATTCCAAATCAGTTCTTAGTGTTTCATATGCCTGCAGCAAGCACATCAATGACTGAGCAGATAAAACCACTCAACCATTGTATTTGATCCTAAATTTGATTCTGATGGAAATTTTCATGATCTACCAACTGAATATAGGCCAATTTTTTAGAATGTCTCATTAAAGAAACATTTTCAAAGGCAGATATCCTTTGAGTTTGTCATAATAAATAACTAAACCATTCAGCATGTTAGCAAACTAATCTTTCCACATTTCCAGTGCTTTATCTTAATGACTAATTTTATTTTACATATAAAATTTTTTTAATATTATATAAAATGCATATTCCTCATTTTTGTGTTCCATAATGATTTTTATAAAGTTTTATAACATTTTTGTCATTCTTTGCAAACACCCCCCCCAAAAAAAAATTCCCCTTTATTTTGAGGCTGAACTGGTTAGAGGGATTTTGCTCTCCTTCCCCTAACTTTTGAACTTGGATTCTGTTGTTAAGAGTAAATAAAAGAGTGGAGCTGCTGTTATGGGTTTAGAATATGTATATCTGCCTCATCTATAATTTATGTTTTTTGCAATCCTACAGGGTACCCATAATTCAATCACCTGATAACAAAATTAAATTGAAGCATAATTTTATGAATTAATTAGGAATAATTTACATCAATATAATCTTAGTTCAAGGAATTTCATTTATTTTAATTGTTGGGAATGGCAACAAGGAACTTATTTGTCTACAGACAAAATGGTGTGATACAGTGAAAAAGAAATGTATGTTCTCTAACTATGGAAAACAAAATCTCCGAAAACAGTTCAGAGGCGAATCCGGCATGAACTTAATAAACCTGGAACAGAGCAACCAAATAAAAGATGATTAAAACAGTTTTGAGAGAGTGGGCATATTTTGCATAAAGGAGGTGCAGGTAGGCCTAGCATCAGTGATGAAAATGTTTGCACTATTCAGAAAAACACTTTCTGCAGTCTTAGTGAATAATTTTGCTGTGCCAGCTAGTATTCAGAAATCTCCATGTTCACTGTTCATAAACTTGTTCATGAATGATGTAAATTGTGCATAAAATGCAGATTTGTCAATAATTCAAACCTAATTATTAAGTCCTTCATAAGGAATTTCCTGTACACATTCTTGACTGTATCAGTGATAACAATCCATTTCTTCAGAAAATTGTATTCAGTGACAAAGCAACATTTCACGTTTGAGGAGAGGTTATTTGACATAACTGCAAGATCTGGGCCTCAGAAAACCTGCACAGTGTCAGAGAAATTGAGCGAGGTAGCCCTAAATTTAACATATGGTGCATACTAATGTTAAAAATATGTGTATATGTGCCAGTCCCAATATTTACTTTATGAAAATTGGCAACAGTAGTTAGTTTTTGTTGTCATTCAGTCCTATCTGGTGTGCATTGCTGTGGTTGCTTGTTCCCATGTAACTTAATATTCCCTGTTGTGTCTAGCGGTGTGGGTTTAGTGAAATGCATGACGCAACCAAAACGGGCTAGTTCACGGCACAAACATTTATTTTTAACTAACTCATAAGACAGCAGCAATGCACTATTTACGCAGTTACATTACATTCTACTCTACTCTCGTTCACAGAGGTTCTCGGGTATAAGAGTACTGATACTCTCGAAATCAGATACTACATCCCTCCCCACTTATTTAGAGATTTAATCTCTGAGGAGCTTTGCGGATGCGCGAAGATCGTCTAAGTCCTGGCTGAGGTTGCTGCAACTCTTTATCAGGATCCACTGGAAGGACTGGATCAGTTTTCCTTGGAACTGACAATGTTTCAAGTCTGGCTGAAGTTTGCACAGCTTCACTTCTTTGTTCCATGTCCTTGTCCAGAGCCTGTGGTTTCACATTTCCATTTGAAGTAGCAGCCATACTCAGGTTCATAGATTACCGGTGCAGAAGGAATCTCGCTCCCTACAGATCTGATCTGATTGACGTGCCTGCGCAGTAAAGTTCCTTGAACGTCAATGGTATAATGCAGCGCTCCATCCTTATTTGTCACTCTGCCAATTTTCCATCGAGAATTTGCCGATCTATAATCCCAAATGGCAACCTTTTCTCCGATCTCAAAATTTCTGTCTTTGAAATCATAAGTATTCCTTCGGATGCGTTCTTCCACTCTTCGTTTAAGATTTCGGAACAACTAAATCAATTCGAGTTCTAATTTCTCTTTTTAAGAATAACATTGCTGGACTTAACAAGGTTGTCATGTTCGGTGCCTTTCTATAATTCATGAGGAATATGGCAAGTTTTTGCTTAATATTTCCTGGATAACCTTGCATTGCACGTAATGCTTGTTTAACGGTGTAAACGTACCGCTCTGCTTGCCCGTTACTTGCCGGTTTAAATGGAGCACACGTTTTGTGTTTAATTCCATTATTCCTCCTTATAAAAGTTTCAAATTCCCCCGATGTGAACTGAGGACCATTGTCACTCACTACTACTAAAGGCAGTCCGTATCTTGCAAAACAGTCTCTCAAACATTCAATTGTCTGAAAGGAATTTGCTGACTTTAAGGTATACACTTCTAGCCATTTAGAATGTGCGTCAATGATAATCAAGAACATTCGTTCAAAAATAGGGCCTGCAAAATCTACGTGAATGCGTTCCCAAGGCGCACTTGGATATTCCCAGTGATGGACCCTTGCCCTTACTGGATCTGATTTGAACTTAATACAATCGACACAGTTCCTAGAAACTTCTTCAATATCATGATCAATTCCCTTCCAAAAGACGTAGGATCTGGCGATTGCCTTCATTTTAACGATTCCTAAATGTCCTTGGTGTAACTCTTCGAGAATTTTAACTCGGAGTTTTTTCGGAACAACTACCCTCTGACCACTCATTATACAGTCATCTTGTAAGGTGTACTCGGCTTCCCTACCTTCCAAACTTTCTCCAGATTTTAATTTCATATAAAGACTATTTAATTCTTCATCAGCTCGCGTTTCCCGAGCTATCTCCCTAGCTGTTACCGGAAGAGTTTCAATTTGGGAGAGTTGGAATATTTCAACATCATCCTTAATGCTTAAATCTTCGGACTTAAGAGGTAGGCGCGACAGGCAGTCAGCATTACCGTGTTCCTTGGTATTTCGATACACAATATCAAACTGATATGCTTGCAATATCAGTGCATAATGTAAAGAGTCGGGTGGCTGTGAGGATAGGAAGTCCTCTTTTCGATTTGAAAATAGCCACTAAAGGTTTATGATCTGTCACCAGAGAAAAGCGTCTTCCCCTTTAGATATAGATAAAACTTTTTGACAGCCCAAACAATTGACAGTGCTTCTTTATCGATTTGGGCGTATTTCTGCTCTGTGTTAGTCAGTGTCCTCGATGCGAATGCTATAGGCCTTTCTGTTCCATCAGACAAAACATGCGAGATCACTGTCCCAAAACCTACCGGAGATGCATCAGTAGCTAGCATTAACGGTAATGTGGGATCGTAATGCATTAAAACTCTGTCTGAACAAATTTCCTTTTTATTTTTTCAAAAGCGATTTGGCAGTTTTTTGACCAACTCCATTTAACATCTTTTTTTTGTTAAATTATTAAGGGATGTGCCAAAGTTGCCAAATTTGGCATAAAAATTCACTAATCCCAAAAAGCTTTTGATGTCTTGGACGCCTTTCGGCGTAGGGGCATTAGCAATTGCCGAAATCTTTTCATCCATTTTATGCAATCCAGCGGCATCAATTTTATGCCCTAAAAATTTACTTTTAGTTAAGTTTAATTTTAGGCCGTGCTCCTTGCATTTTTTGAAAAATATTTCCAATGCTTTTAAATGAGACTGATCATCCGATCTTGTCACTCGAGCATCATCCATAAAAATTTTAATTCCTTTGATCCCCTGAAATAATCCCTCAACATAGCGCTGCCAAATAGTTGGGGCAGCATTTAATCCATACATTAAGCGTTTACAAATATACAACCCCTTATGCGTGTTTATTGTTAATAATCGTTGGCTCTCTGGATGCACCTTCATTTGTAGATAAGCATGACTGAAATCAAGTTTCGAAAAATTTTTACCTCCATTAAGGCATGAAAATATTTCTTCGAGTTTTGGTAATGGATGCTGTGGCACTTCCAAATTAGGATTCAGAGTCACAGAATAATCAGCACAAAGCCTAATGGAACCATCAGATTTAACAATTGGCACAACTGGTGTTGCCCATTCTGAAGTCTCAACCCTCTCAATGATACCTTCTTTCTCAAGCAAGCCGATCAATTTCTGATTCAACTCTATTTTTTAATGCGAAAGGTACCGGTCGTGACCTACAAAATATTGGTTGAGTATTAGGTTTCAAATTTAGTTTTACTTCGTGATTGTTAATTTCACCTAATTTACCGTCAAAAATTTCCTTATACTCCTCAAGCAATTTTTTTAAATTCAATTCACTAGAAGTTTTCAATGCTTTGATGGCATTCCAATCGAGATTGATTTTATACAGCCATTCTCGGCCGAAGATTGTGTCCAAATTTTCCTTCACAATGTATAGATTTAAAACTAATTTTTGACCTTGGTATTCAACTTTAACAGGAACATATCCTAAAGGTACCACCTTATCACCCCTGTAAGTTTTAAAAACTAAATTTGTAGGCTGAATCTTTTTATTGGAAATTTTTCTAAATTTATTTATAGACATTACCGAAACTGTTCCCCCAGTATCAAGTTCCATGCTAACTGGTTTGTTTTCAATTTTAACTTGAACCATTATTGGCGGTCTTTTTGGCTCTTCCTCTCTTAACATGTGCGTTCTGGAGTTAAATCTATAGATGGGGACCTCATTTTTCGAATCATAATCATTATTTGCCTCAACTTTCTTTTGTTTAACCTGTCGGTTTTTCCTAGACAAATAACACGCCTTTTCGATATGTCCAATTTTTTTACAAAAGCGGCATTCACTTGTTGCAAATCTACAGTTGTTTTTATTGTGATTTGCTCCTAAGCAACGCGAACAAGTTTCATTTTTACCTTTATTATTCTTAGCAACAAAGTTTTTTGTTTCCGCGGTTTGGACTCATTTTTCTTGGTTTTAAGTACCTTCAGTTCTACGGAATTTCCTATAATCTCATTTGCACCCTTAACCGCCTTTTCCATCGCCAAGGCTATCTTTAATGTTTTCTCTAAATCGATATCATCTTCCTGAAATAATCGATCTAAGATATTACGATCTCGTAGACCGCTAACGAAAACATCCCTTAACATTGTATTTAGCATATCCTCTTTATATTCACAAGGAATCGCTAACGAGCGTAATTCAGTGACATAACTACTAATTGATTCCCCCTCATGCTGTTTTCTATTAATAAACATGTGCCGACTAGGTATTATTAAAGCTTTAGGATTTAAATGATCCTTAAGAACCTTTTTTAGTTCGGTAAAATTTTTATCTGAAGGATTATCCGGAGAGAGTAAATTTTTCAACAAATTATACAATTTCGCATTCAAGCTTGAGATCAGAACTTTCCCACGTTTTGCCTCTGGAACATTTTGAATGTCCAAAAAAGCCTCAAATCGTTCTATGAACGAATCAAAATTTTCTACCGTTTCATCGAACTTATCAAAAGAAACAGAAATTTTGTCTTGTTTATGTTCCGATTTCTCTTGCAATGCGACCATTAAAGCTTCATTCTGCTTTATCAATTCTTCAACTAACTTCTCCATCCTTTCAAAATAAAAATCAAATAACTTTCCTACCTTTTGCAGTTTTCGGGGAATTCCCTAATCCAAGTTTCGGTTTTACCACTACTTACGCATGTACCCGAGTGTACAAGTTTCTTCTCACACAGCCTCATCGTCAACTTGTTGTGTCTAGCGGTGTGGGTTCAGTGAAATGCATGACGCAACCAAAACAGGCTAGTTCACGGCACAAACATTTATTTCTAACTAACTCATAAGACAGCAGCGATGCGCTATTTACGCAGTTACATTACATTCTACTCTACAATATATTTTTTATTGTTCAACCTGGACTATGTCGTTTCTTTAACCCACGAATAACTCAAACTTTATCAACTAACACATAACAAAGTGATCAGTCCCTTCTTTTTCTTGGAGTTATCAATTAATTTGGACATTTACTTTTATATGCCAAGACTGCTTACTATACCAAAATTAGAAAAAATGCTGCCAAACTTTTTCTCAAACAAGATGAGACTCCCTGTCCTTTGGATATACATGTGTGTGATTTACTTGATGAAACACTCCCATATTGCTGGATTAGTATGGAATGGTAGAGATGGACCAATTTCATGGCTATTTCATTCTCCATACGTCACACTGTTCGACTTCTTTTCTGGGGATACCTAAAAGAATTGAGTTCATGCTGCAGAGATTCACAGCATCAAAGAATTAAAAAATCGAATTGCCACAGAAACAGATACTGTGACTCCACAAATGCTAAGCATCTGGAGGAAAATCAAGAACAGACTTGATATTTTCCCAGCAACTATTAGTGATCATGTTGAAGCGTATTAATATAAAATTCTTTGAAGTGCTAAATAAAATTCAGTCAGTCATTTTTTTTATTTCTGATTATGTATTATTTAAAACATATTTTTATTCAGTCAATAAATTATGGATACCTTGTATTAGGTTAGGTTTCTAATGTAAGTATTTTAGTTACGTGTTAGGTCATTATTATGGGAGAAAATTCTCTTTCATGTTACATTTTTAATTTTCATAGTCATCATGCAAGATACTCTAATAATAAATTCGATTTAAAAAATTCCTGATTCACACCAACACACAAAAACATTCCTAATATTTCTTCAAAAAAAAAAAAAAAGGGGGGGGGGGAACTTTCACACACATTTGAAGTTTCTGAGTTTATTTAGCTTGCCTCAGTACAGCCATATTACATTCAGAAATTCACACAGATTAGAAGAGAAAATAAGATGTCTTATTATACCAGATGTTGTAAAAGTTATGATCTAAGATGCTGGAATAATAAGATGATTTCAATAATTATTTTCATAATAGTTATATTTTAGCAAAACTGTTAATCACTTTATGCTTATGTAAAATGTGTTTTATAATACATTTTTTTGTGTCTATTAATCTTTTCTTCACTAGATTACTGAAAGAATAAAGATTTTAATGTTTTCCAAATATATATACAGTCAAAAGTCGTTAATTCGGACACCCATAATCCGGACCTCAAAGCTAAAGACTTTCTGCGCATGCACTGCATTGGCACATGCGCACAGGCGTTTTACGCGTGCGCGTAAGACCTTGACTACTGCGCATATGCGTGTGCGCAAGTGCAGAATACGTTTTCACCTGCGTGTTTAATGTATAACGGACGGTGTAAGCTAAAATTATCTAATTATATATTTCAGTTAATGTTAATGATTGCATTGTTCCTTAAACTTCGAATTGGATCCTGCTTATTATTTTTTGCAGACTGTAAGAGCAATTTTATAAAAGTAAACTTGAACTTTCGATTATGTCAAATAGAATTTCCGATGCTGGAACTTCCAAAGGATCTACAAAACGAAAGTATGTTTCGATGTCCAACAAACAAAAAGTGGAAATGCTGCAAAAATGGATAAAGACATAAAGAATGTGACAGAGAGGTTAGTGAAAACGAAAAAATTTCGATTGACAAGTTAGTCGCTATTCTCGGCACAGCAATTAACGGGACTTGAACAGCGGAACTTTGTAACTGAACAAGAAATTATGTCTGTTTATAGAATTAAAGAGAAAGTATTATCACATAAAACGAAGCAATTTAAACAACTTACATTGAAAGAAATGTTTAATAAAGTAAACAAATAAATATTAAGTTTTTTTTTTTTTTTTTTTTTTTTTTTTTTTTTTTTTTTTTTTTTTTTTTTTTTTTGTAAATTTTGATACCCTTTAGATCATAATTCATATTTTATAATATGGTTTCATATTTTTAATTTTAGAATTTCTGCATGCCATCTTACCAGATTTAAACTGATGATCTATAATCCGGAAAAAATCGATAATCCGGAATCGCCGAAGTCCCGACGAGTCCGGATTAACGACTTTTGACTGTATTAAGTATTTATTTGATTGGTTATTTGGCTAGTATTATTAGTTATTGGGCAATAATTACCTTTCTAAGATGCTTAGTTCTAAGATTCTAAGATTTGTGAATGCTTAGTTCAGACTGAAGTGAAAATAAAAAAGAATTCACTAAAAAATATGCTTTATAAAATAATAAAAAAAATATGTTTAAGTTTTACAGTTAAAGAGAAAAAAAATTAATTAAAGATAAATTAGAAAATAATGCATTTTAGTAATTTTTGTCAGAATACATTATGTCAATATTAACAATTATATTCTAAATGGCCATTATTAAAAAAAAAACCTTTAAAAAATATGGAGTGCCACTGTTAAAATATTGATATCTTTTCCAAGAAATATTTTGTCAGTTCAAAATATTGCTTTTCTGGAATGTTTGTAAAAGAATATCACATATCTTACTTTATGTACAGCTTCAAGAGCCATCTTACAAACACTGTATGATGGTGATTCAGGAACAATCCACCTGAATATATTATCCAGCAACAATGGCAACCTTGCTATGTGCTGCATAGGTAAGAAAAGGAAGGATTCTAAACTGAGACCTTGACATGCTGGGTTACTTTCAAGCTTTCTTAATACCTCTAGGAAGCATAATCTTGTCTCCCTAATGAGAATTATAAAATGTTATTAGGTTATACTTTGGCATTTAATTCTGTATTGTTTATCAACAGAAAATTAAGGTCATAAAATTATTTCTAATATAAATAACTGATTAAATTTAGTGCCTTCTGCATTATTTGTATATGCTGCACTTTTAATATTAGATAAAATTTATGACTGGAAGATTTGACGCTAATGACTTTAATAACAATGTCTCAAAAGTTCTAATAATATAAATTTTTATTGAATTTTAATTTCAAAATCCTTTAAAAGCTGCAGCTTTCAATGCATTTGAGGTTATTTTAACAACAGTTTTTCTTCTTAAATATGTATGTAAACATTACACATTAAAGAAAAAACTGCTGATTTTTTTACCGTTTCTTCAGTTTGGAATCTTAACTGCCATTTCTTTTTTCTTTTCTTTTAATTATACAAGTAAATAATTAAATATAAATTTTTTTAGGAGTATCGAGGCACACTTTTTAATAACAAACAACTTTTTTTTTCAGTGAAAAGTAGCTGTATTTGCTGTATTTCACACAAATGTAGTTCGGACTTTCAGCTCGTGGGTTTAGCTGAATTTCATACATTTTAAATAAATGAAAAATAATACTGCTTTTTTAACAATATATTTTACATTCTGAGTAATCTCAGAATCAATTTTAGATTAAAATGTTAGGGAATTAATAACGATTATGACAGAAATAGTTATCGTATACTGAAAATATTTCAAATAATCAGGTATTTTTAAGCGATATTACCAATACACACTTGATTATACAGGAACATTTTGAATAATGAAACACAGATTTGTAAAAATATATATATATATATATATTTTACATGATTTTTAAAGGTACCATGAACAATACACTGATTACTGCAGGCTTATGATATCAGTTAACATTAAATTAAAAATGCAACTTAAGTTCATCTACTGCATCTGCCACTGCTACTTGTAAACTATCAATGCTTGTGCATGATGTGGATCTCGCAAGCAAATCATTTACATTCATGAATTTAATGTACTAATTATACGCTATATAACAAATCAAATAAATAGCCTTAAGAAAATAACTGTATTTTTTTAAAGTTATTCGAAACTATTTCCTTAATTATGAATATAAAAAATAATACTAAAAATAAACTGGCCTACGATTTCCACCTAAAAGGACTATTCAATAAATTCTGCATCTTGGCATGATAAAATACATTTGCAATGATAAAACATGATGAAATGATTGCATCACCTTTCAGAAGTATGAAAAAGAAAGAATATACAGCATTCAGGTTTTAAGAGACTGATAAAATTTATCAGTCAGTAATGCCTGTTAATATTGAAACTATGAAATATAATTTCGTGACTGAACGCTCGACAAAAAAAGGCATAATGCCAATAAATATTCATGAATGTGTAGATGCAGTCTATAGTGATACATTTTCTTATGCCAATGTCAAAAAGTGGGTTGCCATGCTGAGACATGGGAAAAGAGTCACTTGAAGATGATCCTAAACCAGACTACCAGGTAGATGTCACTGAAGAAATGTCTGCTAAAGTTGCTATAGAAGATAGACAAATGATATTTTCTCAAGACTATAATGTACATGAATTCATTGCTATATCAATGGAAAACGTCCTATATAAAAATGCTGAGAATGCTAAAGATCTGCACCAAATGGGTCCCCAGAAATGTTGACAACGGAAATGAAGAAATATCAGATTGAGTGTTTTCAAAAGCCATAATATCCCCAAAATAAAAATTTTTATTCATGAAGAGTGACAAGGGATGATATGTGGCTTTGCCAAAATACCCCAAAAATTAAAAAAAAAAAAAAAAAAAAGGCAGCACAGGATGGAAACATGGTGGATCTTCTGAATTGTAAGCATGAAGCTGGGCCTACAATTTTGAGATTAAAGAGGGATGATTGCTGGCTCTAGGCTTTTCATTACCCAATGTAATTCCAGCTGCTACAGTCTTTCCCAACTGGAGCACAGCCACATACAGGTTGCATCAGCTAAGGTGTAACTGCTATAAGGGACCACTGCTTAATGCCATATAACATAGTAAGAGGTATTAAGTATGTTAAACATGCTAAAATCTGACATGCCATAAAGGTAAAACACTCATGCAAACTCAGCAGAAAAGTATTCCTTTTACTCATCTTTTACATGAATATGGAAGGCAATGCTCAATTTTGCAGATTTTTTTTTTTTTTTTTTTTAAACTTTTAAAGAAGAGGGAAATGTGTCTGATTGTCTTTGAAATCAATAAAGTTTTAATCAAAATCTACGCTAAAATAAAGTTGCTGTTTCTCCGAATTTAAAATTTTTTACTGGTAGGTTTCTCTTTCGGTTTGGGATTTCATTAAACAGTTATTTATTTATTAATTCACTAAATTTTGGTTCTACTTTGGTAACGTGTAACTACAATTTAACAGACAGCTACTTCTTTATTTTTTATAAGTTATATATTTCTATTCTTTTTCCAGAAAAAATAAATAAATAAAAAATAACTTTAATACTCATACATACTTAAGCTCTTTCAATGTTCTTTCTTGGTAAACTCTATTGGAACAGTATCTAACATAAACTGAAAAAGATGGCATAACAGCATGGCGATGAATAATATCACAAATGTCAGGAATAAGAATACCATCACTCCACCTTGCAGTAAGCTCATACATCAAGCTACAAATATAATGTAAAAATAAAAAAGGAAAAAGAAAAAACTAATGTTGTATTGTTTACGTAAAAGCAAAAATTTTTAAATAACTTAAAGCAAAAATATTTTAAATTAAAAATATTAAGCCTGATAATAATATTAAATATAAAAAACTGTATTTATATATGATATAATAGAATTTAATTCTATAAGAAATAGAATATTAAACTGCACAGTCTACCGAAATCCAAGCTTCTTGATTTTATTTCTTCGCTTTAAATTTTATGGTAAGTGACTAAGTAACTTCTGAATAGAGACCACTATTTTACAATACTTTATATTCATAAAAATACACAAAATATAATAAATTAATTTTATTGTATTAATATCAGCTGTAAAAAACTACATTAGCAAAACTTATAATCTGTTGTAATAACTTATAATCTGTGTTAATGCTTACATTATATTTTAATTTATACATTTTAATGAGACATAATTAATGAAAGCAGCTAATTTCAAGGGAAGCATTTTTCATGTAAAATAAAATTATCTGTAAATAAAATAAAACACAGTGTACTACTTAGATTTAAAATGCACTTTTCATTCAGATTTTTAAGACACAGAATTACAGCACATTTAAATTAAAAACTAGGGTACATTTTAAATTCAAAATAAATAATTTAACATCTTATTTTTTTCAATCTCCCACACTGTCAATGATAAATGACCTTTGCCTTATGCTTTTATATTAATACTCTTTTAAGTAAATAAAAATGCTTATTTTTCAGTACCTATTATAAAGTACAGGTATTCAAAAACAAATACAAAATTCAATAAAAAATAAAAATGATTTTATAATAATAAGCAATAAAATGATTATACATTTTTTTATTATTTTTCTAAATTTAAAACCCTTTCGAGCTTAAATTCAAAGGTGGCTAGTTTTTATCTCCTCCTTTCCAATTTTAAGAGTCTACTTCAGCTTAAATTCAAAGTAATACATGATTTAGAATAAATTACAGTAATTTACAACAAACCTTTCACTGACTTCTTTCACTCTGATAATGTCTGAGAAAAGAACATCATGTTCATGTTTACTCAGAACACAAGATGAGGACTCTACATCAGAAAATTCAGGTGTTTTGATGAAATTTTCATACAACACTTTTAAACTTCTTATGTAGGAAGCTTGTGACTGGATAAACTCAAAAGCAGCTTCTTGCAATTTCAATTCCTGGGCCGATATTCTTTCTAAAATACCACTTTCTTTAACCTAATTTTAAAAAGACCAATATTTTATCAATCTGAATGAAATGAATATACTTTAATAACTCAAAAAGTAATGGAACATATTAATAACATTCACCACAAATGCAATAAAATAAATGTACTTTAATAACTTTGAAAATGAAAGAACACTAAAAGTGTAAATATTATAAAAATATCTCTAATCTCTCTCTCTATATATACATGTATATAGTATTATATCTAAAATCTTTTAAATGTAATGGCGTATGTTGAGTTTGTTACTTTATAATAAAACATTTTGCATAGTACAACATTAATATGAATACACTTAAACAAGACAGTACCCCCATAGCACAAAACATCCTCAGAATGTCCTATTTAAGTCGCAATATCCCGGGATATAGTTAGGATGTCCTAAGGATGTTGATCCTCAGATGTCCTGAGGAGATCGTAATTTAACATCCTGAGGATGTCTTATTTAAGTCGCTATGTCCCGGGATATGACAGGATGTCCTGAAGATGTTGATTCTCAGATGTCCTGAGGAGTTCATCAATTTCACATCCTGAGGACATTCATTCTGCATTGTCCGGAGGACTTTCGTTGTCAAACATTTTGAGGATATTTGTTCTCAAATTTACCAGTTTTAATTTTTGACATTGCACATCTGAAACTTGCACATTATTTTATTTTTCATATGTATTTTACTAAGTTGTTTCTAAATGCTGTACATTAAAAATATTGATATGATTGATGATTTATTCTTGTTATTTTGTTATTAATTTTAACTGCTATTTTTTCTGACTTTTTTAAAAATTTATTTAGTCATGGAAAAGATTTTTTTCAATGGATTAGCATTTTCTAGAATATTTGCAAAATTCTAATAATATATATTTTTTTTATAAAAAATGTATAAATTACATGTATAATTACTTACAGATTACAAACCCTACTACAAATATAGGTAAAATTAGATATAGATATATTTAATTACGGAAACGAATTTTTTTTTTTAAAATTTGGGTATAGAGACATTAGGTATTTTTTTTTAAGCAGGAAACATGAAAAATTAGCAACTCCCTTCGCCGGGAATCGAAGGACGGGTCTCTGGAATACCGGCCCAGTGTGCAGAACCACTACACCACGAAGACACGCTAGGTGTGGTGGTGGTGTATTTAATTATGCCAAAGCACACTAGGGCTATCTGCCTATGGGGAGGGATGTCTTCGTGGAGGACTTTCTAAGGGAAACTGGCTCGTATACACGTTACACATGGGGAAAACCACGAAAACACCCATGCAGCCAGCCCGTTCGCGGGATTCGAACCTCGGATCGCACTACCAGGGTTCAGCGACTTTACCGCTCGGCCGCTGGTGGGCCGAAGACACGCTAGGAAAGCGGGAGAAATACCTTATATTACTTCTCTTTTTAAAGGCCGACTTTTTTTTAAGGGGATCCAATCACTAAATCCTGGGTGTGGATATACCTCATCCAACACCTTTTTAGTTCGGGCGCCACTGTAGAGACATTAGGATTTTTTTGGGAAGCCGTAGAGATGAAAAATTAGCAACCGCCTTCGCCGTGAATCGAACCACGGACCTCTGAAATACCGGCCCAGCGTGCAGAACTATTACACCACGAAGGCACGCTAGGAAAGCGGGAGAAATACCTCATAAGGAAAATTTTTTTCCTCTAATTACAGGACAGAAAATGTTTTTCAATCGCGCGATCTGTTATTGATATTGAATTACAGTCGTGCGATAATTTCGCAGTAAAGATACATCTCTGATGACTATCCAAGATTCTAGAAACTTTGGTCTTATATAGAGATGGTCGTCTTATAGAAATAATGCTTAATATCAATATTTATTTATAATCTCAGAACTATTGGTCACTTTCAGAAGTGGTCGTTTGAGAGGCGATATTCTATATATTTATTTACTGATACTCTCAGATTCCAAAATTTGTTTATATTCTCAGAAATATTGGATGGAAGGTGGTCGTCCCATACATGCAAAATTTTACATTTCATTAAAAATGAATTCGGCATTATTTAACTATTTCCCTATTAATTAATTAATTAGATAAAGAAAAAATTAGGAAATAGTACTGTTTATTACGGAATAATGTAGGAAGTTCTACAGAACTATATTCTTTCGCGTCATTGCACATTGTATCCGGGCAAACTACTAGTTCCTCGTATTCTTCCGCAAATCCGTAAACATCTGTCTGATTTGAAACGAAATCCAAAATGGCTGCGCCATGAGGTTTAACTTGTATGGATATTTTTTGTTGCATGAAAGGTAAGTTCAGTTTGCAATACTTGTATGTTTACTTTTTTTTTTTACTTTTTTTGAATTTTCGAATTTATGTCATTTTGACAGTTAAATGTTTCACAGCTTTATGAATTGTTACCATTCTGTCGTGAATTACGTGTATCTCAATGGCTGGCTGTCTTTTCAAATATCTAATTTGCCCTGCTATCCAAATTTTTATGACTGAATTTTTTTTTAGTCTAGTTTATGCATTCAGTTTCAAAATAATATGTGTGATCAGATTGCTTATTATTTTATTGCAGCAATAAATTTATGTTAAATAGTTTGAACAATTGTATAAAAATAAGAGTTTGCATTGTTTTGTCCAAAATATGTATGGTTGAAACATTATCTTAATCTAGTTTGTAATTCAAGTTTTTTTGGGGGTACTGTTCTGTTATTGGGACCAGAATCGGAAATGTATGAACCTGTGTTCGTAAGTATGTGCATAGATGTGTATATGTAGACACACAAACATACAAATATACATAAGCATACATAAATACAATTCTGAACCCGGTCCTGATAACAGAACAGTACCTTACCTTTTTTAATCTTTTTTGAATATTTTATAAACAGGATTAAGCACTTTTTCAAACTGCATATCATTTTAAGATTCGACTTGCAGGAAGACAAAATATGGTCATTCAATGAAATGCTTATGATTGCTTTTAACATTTTCTCATAAATATTGTTTGCATTTTTATTGTATTTTAGATACTTTAGTTATGTAAAGTGAACATGAGAATATTAGGAAAGCTGAAGAATATGAATAGCTACCATAATACATGTATTTTTTTCATCCAGCCCATTGTTTTAGAAACCAATGCACCATTATTATATGCTGGCTTATTTTATAGTTATATGCAGTTTAATTTTATGTTCATGTTACTGTAGTATTGTCATTATAATAAAAGTATTGATAATTTTTGTTGAATCTTGCAAGTTGCCTAACATTCAGAATTATTACTACCGAATTTTACTGATAGGTTTTTTCGAGTTGACATAATCTGTCTGATAAATAAAATAAACTGGTGTTTAAATTATATGCATTTCTCTTAATGTTTCATTGAAAGTGAGATGGAAATATAAATGCTATCCAGAAAAGTGAATTCTTTTTGCCTGAAATAACAAACTGTACTAAATGATTAATGTTTATATCATTTTAGAAATGTCAATATTAAAGTTTCTCCCCCTTCTCTTCTTTGATTTTGAAATAATTTATAATAAAATAATATATGCATAAGTGTAATTAATGTAAAGTGTCATTCAATAATATAATTTATTTTTACTGATATTTTTATATTTCTTATCTGGGTTTTCTTTTGGTGTTAGAAGGAGGAAAAGACTGTAATGTTTTAATTAAGGAAATAATTAAAACATTACAGTCTTTTAAATAACACAGTTACAGTAATGTTTATTGAAGCAATCAGTACTGTGTGATTGCCAGTGATTGAATAATGTTAAAATGCATTGTTCATAAGAAAATTTGCTTATCTTTGTGTTATAGATTTTATTTTGTCACAAGCTGAAATTTGAATTATTGGAAGCACTTTGAAAACCCGAATTATTTCCTGAATCATTAATCAAGCCAATATATAACATACAAATTTTCATACAAAATTATTTCTTTGAGCATATTATAAAGAACTCATTTAATTTTATTATTTGTACAAATTTTAGACAAAAGTAGCATGTAACAGTTAAAGATTTATTGAAGCCTACTTGTTACTTGTAGTAACAAAGAAGTGTAAAAGATATTGCCACATTAGCGAACATGACGATCATTGATGCTTAGTTTAGTAATTTAATAATATATTGAGAAATGCTGGGAAATTTCAGAAGTAGACATTTCGGAAATGATGGGCTTGATAAGAAATTTACATGGTTTTATTATTTATTCTTTAGTTAAGAATGGATTTTAGATGTTCATGTGAAAGAATTGTTAAAGTTTGGCATTTAAAAAATGAATTAATAATATGCAATTATCTTTTTATTATACATATATTACTATATATTTCTAATGTGCTATGTAAATGTCAGTGCTAAACAATTGAGATACTATTGTCAGGGCAATCTTTTCTTATACATGAAAAATTCTGATACTTTCTTATCATCTGCCCTCACAGCTTCAACTTATGCTAAAACAGCAAGAGTATGCACACAATAATAGCAAACTATGAATATGCATACCACACACATGTATTTACATGCTTTATATTTAATCTTTATTTCTGAATAGTATTCCATTGGATGAAAAATATGTGAATATTGACCCAATATATATATATTTTTGTGTGTGTGCATCCTAAAATTTCTTGTTTCTTATAAAGTGCTTATTTGAATTACTACTTGTGAACAGAGCAGTAGATATGAACCATAAACTAACCATTTGCCAATTTTCACAGCTTTGCAGATAGTCAGAAAGCACCAAAATTTGTAATAATGTTAAGTTTAAATGATGTTCTATACTTTTGTGTTAACTTTTCTATTCTATTAATTCTATTACTGTGTTATCAAACTTTCTGCAGGAATTTCAACTGGTTAAGATGTTATTACCATGTGGAGAAGAATTTGGTTTTCAAGCTAGAAAAAATTGCAGCTGAAGGATTTTGTAGAAGGTCAGTCAAACTGGTTTTAGTTAATTATAATTTAATTTTGGGTGAAGAATTCTCAAATTTATTTATCATAAGTGTCTAAAGGTCTTCTAAA